AAAAAAAAAAAAAAAAAAAAAAAGGAAAAAAGAGAAAAAAAAAAAGGAAAACAGCATTAAACCACAGATGACATATGTGTCTTTTCCACTGATTTCTTGCCCTGCTTTGTAATTTGGAGTCATTTTTTTCAGGTTGGAAAACTATCTGTTAACCCTACATTTCACATAGCATTACATTTCCCTGAGTTTCCTCTGTCATTTATTTTATTCCTCTTCTGTCTTTGCTCCTATCAAAGGGAGCAATTCCAATGCTTCCTTTGCCTCTTTTTCCCCAACCTTCCCATCTTACAGTTATTTAGACTTTTAAACATCCTTTCCCCTTCTCTCTCCCCAGCCACCAAACTTTCCTCCTCCACCTTCTCACTCACTGAGAAGCCTATTCACAAGAGCTGTCCGGCTTGGCAGCCCTTTCGTTCCTTTACTTCTCTCCCATAAGTTTTGACTACAGAAGCTCTCAGGAAATCCCAAGAAGATTTGGTTTCACTGTACTACTTACTGTACAAAGACAGCATGCCCTCATCTTCAAGAGCTTTCAATCAGTATTATAAGCTTTTCTGCTGATGGATAGAGGTTTTTTCAGACATAAAAAATATTATTGAAGGCATTTACTTCCCTGAATAGACCACAGGTACCCGTGCTATCAAAATCAGTGACCACTAAAGGACAAGAGAAGCCTACTTATCCCAAAAGAAAATCCAGAGATTTCCTGCTTCCTTAAATTTAATCCACTGCTAATCCCTTCATGACTTGTTCAAATTCCCAATTAAAACCAATTAAAAAAGAAAATACTTTCTTTTAGCATCAATAATAAAAAGGCAGTTCTAGAATCTGACTCATGAGGCAGATTTAATAATTATAGTTAATTTTATAATTATTCTGAAACTTCCACCATAAACACTCTCACTGACTGACACCTTCTCGTCAGCTAGGTCGTCATGCCCTCACAATTTCTGTACTAATTTTCATATTTTTCCAACTTAGTATTTTGTAATTTTAGACATTAGTATGAAATTTGGTTGAAGGCTGTGGAAATTATTTTATATGCTCTGTGTGTGTGTACATACACACACACACACACACACACACTTTCTCTAATCCGATTTATACTTGTTTTGAAATCAAATGTGATTTTTAAATAATACTTACCAACTCTGTTACCAGAGGCCGGGAACTTCCAATATAAGTACTTAACTGTTTCTGCTTTAGGATATGTAGAGTGTTCTCCCTAAAAGCAGCAAAATATTTCTGAATAAAGACACTTTTATTTAGAAAGAATCTTTTAATAAGACACAATATTCAGAGACAGTTTTGGCTGAGTGGAATAACGGTTCAGAAGAGACATGGTTTGGGACAACAGGCTGCAATACTGTTGTGCAAAGGTAAAATTCAAGCAGAAGCAGAATATTGGAGTCAATTCACATAGCTTTATATCTTTCAAAAGTGCCCATTATTTCAATCACTCGTATATTTAAATTATGAATCGACTTCTCATGAACAAAATTCCCTGCTAACATTCACTCTACAGTCAGCCTAGGAGAGCAAATTCCACTTAGGATGAAACCATGACTCCAGCACCCTCTATTCACTGGCCCTTTAAAACAAGGCTTTTATTGCAGGCCTCTGGGATCAAAGCCAGGCTTTAACTTTTTCTGCTTTGAAACCCATTGCTGATAATAAAGGTGAAAATAATGGCTACTAGTGAAGGATCAGTGACACAAAATGACAATACAAGTACTTGAACGGGCAAGAATTTAAAGATGAAGAACTGAGCACTCTAGAAATATGTAAGATGAATGGCTTGCCCAGTATAAATAATAGGCTAAATACCAGGTAACCATCTAGCATCTTTCATTATTTCTTATTAAGAAAACCAAACCTACATCCAAGTTAAGAGATTAATTAAGTTACTTTGGTGTTTTTCCCCACCTCTGTCCTCGCCTCCCAAAAGCTGTAACTGACTTCAGAGAAGAGTCACTTCAGCAAACGGGGAAAAAAAATGAATTTTACATCTAAGAATTTAAAGAAATAAAAATGAATGAACTGCCTGGCTTCTAAAAAGCCATTTTAAAAATGAGTCTGAGAATAGGTATGAAAATTTTACAACTGAAGGAAGCTCATATATAATAAAAGAAAGTCTGAACTCACCAGTAAACAGATTTTGCATAAAACTCAATATTATCTGAGAAGTCTCCAATTTCATCCTTGGCAATGCTCTCTAGCCAATCTACCACCAGCTGGAATAAAATTAAACTGCATTTTTAAAACAAATTTATAGCAAGCATCTGCATCTCCCATCTCTGAATATGCATTTTATTTACATGATAAAGACGTATACAGTCTTGAGACTATGCCATTCTTTTTAAGTATCCAGTATGAATTTTGTTGAGGTGCTCAATCTCTGTTTCTTACTAGATGGTGCAATTACTGACACGCTGTTTATCGGTTTTTTAATCATAACTGTTTGTAACAATAACTTTTGGCCTTCAGGCCTCTCCAAGTTAGCCTGAAAAAATATATCTGATCTTTAGAAACTGAAGAACATTATTTCTGTGCACAATCATAATAAATGCTTACATGAATATGAAGAAATAAGTATTAGAAACAGCTTTGTAAGTACACAGAGCTCACATTTACTGTAACTTACATAACACAGAGGCATTATAAACATTTAAGTGTCTACTTATCTATTTCCACCCCCTTAAAAAATCAAATAAGTCATACCTGGCTTTGTCGAACAAGCGAGTCTTTCTGAAACAAGTTGTCTACAGTTGTCTTTTCACTAGCATTTAAAATCTATTTAAGAAAAAAAACAGATTATTACTTCATGAAAAAGAAAGCTTCCTACAAAAACAAACTGGACACATACTAACTTTTAAGCTCTCTACAAATTCAGAATGCTAACTTCACTCTCACCCTTGCCCCTTTTTTTAAGCCAATGACAATATACATTTGGATGTTTCTTTACAGCATGTAAGACTAAAAATTGTGAAAAGGAGACTGAGAATATAACTCAAACAAATGGTCACAGACAGATTGGACACGGCATATTCATCAATTCTAGCGACTGTACTCACATTACTTCAAATCTCATTTATTCTCATAGACTTGAGAAAAAACAAACCCACATTTTCAAAGATCCTAATGCACCCTTAACATAAAGAAAAGCAAACTACTCCTCCATCCTTCTATCTGCTCTTCCACATCGCTGACTCTCATTAGAGTTGCTACAAACAGAACAGAAGAGGCATTTTAAAAACAAACAAAACCGACCGACCAATCAACTAAAGAAAATCAAAGCACCCCCCAGCAAGTTTGCAGCAGGAACCCACACTTCCGGAGCTTGCCCAGGAGGATGTTGTGAGGGACGGTGTCAAAAGCCTTGGTGAAGTCGAGATAGACGACATCCACCGCTCTCCCCTCGTCTATCCAGCCGGTCATTTCATCATAGAAGGCTATCAGGTTAGTCAGGCAAGATTTTCCCTTGGTGAATCCATGCTGACTACTCTTGAGCACCTTCTTGTCCTCCATGTGCCTGGAGACAACGGCCAGTATGAGCCGTTCCATTACTTTTCCGGGGACGGAGGTGAGGCTGACTGGCCTGTAGTTGCCTGGGTCCTCCTTCTTGCCTTTTTTGAAGACTGGCGTGACATTGGCCTTCTTCCAGTCTTCCGGCACCTCCCCCGTTCTCCAGGATCTTTCAAAGATGATGGAGAGCGGCTTAGCTATGGCATCTGCCAGCTCCCGCAGCACTCTGGGGTGCATCCCCTCAGGGCCCATGGATTTGTGGGTATCGAGGTTCCTTAGGTGCTCTCTGACCCAGTCTTCCTCTACCCAGGGCAAGTCTTCCTCTCCACCAGCTTCTTCTCTTGCCTCTAGGGCCTGGGGCTCTAAAGGGCTGCCCTTGGTAAACACCGAAGCAAAGAAGGCATTGAGCAACTCTGCTTTTTCTGTGTTATTTGTAACCAAGGTGCCCATCCCGTCCTCCAGCGGACCCACGTTTTCCCTGATCTTCCTTTTGCTGTTAATGTATTTGAAGAATTTTTTTTTGTTATTTTTAACGTCCCTTGCCAGCTTGCCTTCCAGACGTGCCTTAGCTTTCCTTGTCGAATCACTCTTGATTGATATATACACACACACACACATATATATATATCATACAGTATATCATACATATATATCATATCATGTATATATGTATATGTATATATCATGTATATCATGTATATATGTATATGTATATATCATACATCATATATATCATATCATATATGTATATATCATACAGTTATTTCCAGTGAATCTTCTAGGTGTATGGAGCAAGGTTAAGGAGATACAAAAATACTTTTAAAGATCTTTCACACTAATATTTTCCATTTAGCACTGGATAATTAGGTAAACTAGCTTTTCACAATATATAGTTTTTTAATGTTTATCTCAATAAAAGTCAATCTTAAATTTTCTTTTACCTTAAATTTTGAATGGTTGAAAGATTAAAATTGTAGGAAAACACGCAAGCATTTAGCTTTAAAATAGATTGATTCCGAAAAGTTTAGTTTAACCCATACGGCCCCCAAAGCTTACTGTGATTTCACATGCAGTTTCATCTTCTAGTGCAGATTGTAGTCTGTCTCTAGAAATAAAATTGCAAACCTTAATGGTTAAAATAAAGCTAGTAAAATCCAGCGGAATGCATAATATGCATGATTTCAATGTGACATGCATGCAAAGTGCTTAAAGCTATCTTTATAAAGAAAAAATACAAAAATGCAAAAAGTTACAAAAGTAAGAAAAAGCATTGTTTGCAAATCTCATTTTCATAAACAGATAATAAATAGGTCTAATTATAAGCATCTAGTTCCATAATAAACCGGTTATTGATTGCTTTGCTCAAGATTTATCATTTACAAACAATAACTCCAAGGAAGAGATCAAAAAAAAAAAAAAACAAAAAAGAAGCAAACAAACAAACAAAAAAACAGCATGTGCTGTGAAAGGGGATTACCTATAAAGTGAGGACAAGAGTCTCCATGTTACCATCTCCTGCTTGAGAAGCCACAGGACACTGGCGGTTTTTGAAAACTTTTGCTGTCCAGGAGTTGCTCGATAAACAATTTTCCCCAGTATATTCACCTGATGTAAATAAATTGACATATGGTTAGTACTGCCCACCATCATTTGTTTCTAAACCATCACAATCTTTTCATGACCCAGAATGCTCCCTCAACACCTAAGTTTAATTTCTCTTTTTGCATATTCCAGATGCCTTAAAACACCCACTCTGTCTTCCACAATCCTGTAGATGGTAACCTTCTCAACACCCACAACCAACAGGAATCCCCTGAAGCCTCCTGTTCTATTTCAGCTTTGAAGTTCCACCAGTTACCATTCACATGATAACTGAACTTTCCTTCTCTTTTCTCCTTCCCACTTGGGAACAGGACTATGGTACACACTTCCTTAAAGACCTCAGCATTCTCCAACTCAAACCCCTTATCAGACAAATCTGTACAGAACACATACAGCTGGCAACCTTCTACCCTGCATTCATTTTCTTAACAGGGACACAGGTGCAACGCCTTTCACCATCAACAAAATGATCTCCCCTCTTCTCTGTGATCAACAATTATTGATAGCAGCATATTAACCTCTTTAGACACAGGTGCAATGCCTTTCACCAACAATATCAACAAAATGATCTGCTCTCTTCTCTGTGATCAACACTTATTGATAGCAGCATATTAACCTCTTTCCAAACTGTCAGCTCCTGCCACTAGCAATCAACAGCCCATCAAAATCAAAAACAATGTCTAAAAGCAGGGATGCCTTAAACCTGCTGTGGAAGCCTTTATGGTGAGCTTATTCAGCATGTACTGGAAATCAATAAAACCACAATGATACAACAACTGTTTTTATATCTGAGACGTGTAATTTTTATTCAATTCACCTTTAGCAACACAAATATCTATACTTTGCTCATATTTACCACCACTTGGCACCTGCAGCACGATGGCAGCACAACAGGCATTTCTGTGCCAAAGTACCATGTGAGCAAAAAGATGTTCTCCAGTGCTGCCACTCAGTGACTCTGCAACCACACACAAGACTTAAAATATCTATGTTTATCACTGTGACATCTCAAATAAAAACAGCAATACAACTCAGAGAATACAAATTAAAAAAGACAAACAATTTACCTGGTTATTACAAATATTTTCATACTCATCCACAAGTTCAAAAATGGTAGTTGATGTATGCTTCAAGAAGGAATGCAGAAAATCTGAGTACATGCTCATAGTAGCTAGAATACATTTAAGCAGAAAGCAATTTAAGCCATGTTAACAGGACTTGGTAAAACTCGGTTAAAAACAAACAAAACCCCAAAACCCGCTCTACTACAAACATCCTTCTGATGAGAAAATAGCCATCAATAAAATGAAATGCAGAAAAATACGATATGAACTATTTATAACCCATCAAGTCTTAAGCACATACGAGCTAAGAAAGTTAGGCAGAAGCTACACAGTAATCTTTGTGAAAGTCAAATAATTGTATGTTTTTTGTTATAAAGCTGGGAAGTCCTCTGGGAAAGTTTTAAACACAAACTCCTCTATGTTTCTCCATGAACTGATTCAGTGTCTTACTATACCAAAGCATCCACTGACATCTATTGATTGTCCTTCGAGACCAGGCTGCACAGAACATACCGACTGGATAAACCCCAGTAACTGGAAAGGATACTTTTCCAACAGACTGTTCTTGTTCGAAAAGTGTATCAGCAAAATAATACATAAATATTAAAATAATGACATACATTTTCCACACTCTACAAGTAAAAGAGGTGATTGATTATTACAAAAACTTTGGATCATCCTACCAGCTTCCCCAGGATCGTCCTCACGCAGCAGTACAGCACTCATAGTCACATCTTCTGTCATATTGGACATGTCTAGATTTGTAAACATTCCTGTATGCTGAGGTGACAGTGCCATTGTCCAGTTGCTTTCATCCAACTAAAAACATAACAGCATAAGGAAAATAAACAACAAACTCAGACTGCTATAAGCCTCACTCAAGCAATTATTTTTGGTACAGAGTTTAATAAACTCTGAAAATTAATAATGAACTGCCTTGAGATGAAACATAATTCTCTTTAACAAACATTTTAAAAAAGACAGAAAAAGGTAATTTTCAATTAACTTATTCAAGAATTAACCTATAAATTAATTTAGTAAGACCTTGAATTTTAAAACACTATTTTTTCCACTTTTTACTTCAAAACAGATGCATCTCTCCATCCTATCACATTCTATCATCTTTACTGGTTAATTTAACCTTTACTGGTTAATTTATGTTGCTCAAAGTGAAAGCAGGCCAAATAATGCTAACCATGCATCTGTGAAAAAACAAAATAGTTTTAAGGCAATTCGCCAAGAAGACCGATAGCCTGAAGCGAAGGGTTCTGATTCAGATTTTAAGTATTTTATTAGACAAAGCAATACGGCTTTAAAATAAGAGCACTTGACAATATGAAATAAGGAGACACAGACATACCTAGACTTTCTTGGGCTATTTCAGGGGAGGTATCCGCTAACATATCTGACATGAGAGCAGCTAACTGGCCCAGACAGGAGAAAGTGCACAGACAGGGCAGCTTCCTGTAGCTGTTTCCAGGGCAGCAATTAACACCATGTGGAAGAACCAAGAATTGTGCCACTAGTAGATTCTTTTGCCTGACCGTTAGGATGGTCCTGCCCAAACTAGTAAGAACAGGGGACTCGGTAACATAGCAGTGGCTTAAATATGCCAAAGAACTGCGGCCACACACCTTGGTGTATGTGACTACACTTTATCCTTCCTTATACGACATAGTTTATATCCGCAGTGTTTCTCTTGCCCGATTTTTTTCTGCCTTTATTGCCCCTAGCCCACCAGAACAGAATGCTGTAGCACTCTGAACTGCTCACAACAGAAGGGCAAAAGTAACGAGAAACTCAGGTCCAGGAAAATCGCACCAGGTCTCTGGGGGTAATACAAAAAGGTCTAGGGAGTGTTCTTAGGAGTTATGAGTCTAATGAGTCTAATGAGTGTTCACTGGGTAAACATCTATAAGGCATAATTTTAAGTCTTTTTTTTCCCATGACCCTAGTTTAACAGTTTAAACAGTTACCTAGTCCCCAGTTTCTCCCCAATAAGAAGATTCTTCAAGATTCAAACAAGATTCTTCGTATCCAAATCAGAGCCCTAAACACTAAGCTAATACAAACACTGCTCACAAAAAACCCTAGTTGCAAAATATCAGGAGGTTCCACACAGGAAGAAAATCCCCACTGTATACATTGGATAACAGCTGTATACATGGTGACCATGGGTCTCTAGGTCCCAAAACCTAACAATTTAAAGAAACTAAGAGGCTGTAAAAAAATATAGGAGCAACCAGAAAGGAGAATGCACTAACATTCAGGAACAAAATCACATCTTAACTCATTTTGAGTCGACTTAAAAAATAAATGAGGATAACACATTTTAAAAATCCCTCCTGATGCTTTCTCTAATCAATGTTTATCCAAAGATACAGTAAGAAGATAATGTCATCAGAACAGCCATGAGAGATGCTTGCTCTTCCAAGTTTTATTTTGTATTCTTTCATATTGGACAATGTCAAAATGAGAAAAATTCTAAAAATTTGATTTGATGATATAAAACACTTCTGTGTTTGAGGAATCTGTAAACAAGCAAAGTTGAGATTTTTTTGCAGTCGCAATCTGATGTGACAGTAGCTTAGCACATATGGTATATTTAGGAAGTCCTTAAAACCCTGTTTACACCTTATTGCATCATCTTGAGGAACAGAGAGAAAACACCACAGCAACACAGCAAGTTGGAACCACCCACAGATTCTTTGGCGCAAAATACACTACAAACTTATAAGAAGTTACAAGTTTTACGTGAGCAAAAGAGAAAGACTTGCTCTGGCCATCTTACCATTGAGAGACTGCCAAAAAGTCCAGGAGTCTGCAGAATTTGAGGCGACTTTCCTCCTGTTCCCAAGATAAGAGACATATCTGGCAGCTTTGTGGAGCTTCGAGGTAGTGGAGTAACTGAAAGAGAAAGACCTTCTTCTGAAAAGGAAACATAATTAAGGCAATTGCGCTCCACATCAAGGCATTCCAAAAGAAATCTTTCAATCAAGATCCAAGTATTTATGAAATCCAGCCCACAGTCACAGAAGAAACAGGCAAACCAATCTCATGGAGAATTAGCCTGTTCCTGTCCGTCATTATTTCGCTCTATCCCAAGGTTTGTACCAAATCCACAAGTGCTAATTAGAAAGGAAAAAAACACCACCAACAATTAGAAACAAGAAGGTTCATTATCAGTGATGCAACTTCATCCTCTACAAATGTATTTACGCTAGGGGTATGCAAACACTCTATTAACAGGGTCTGAGGCACACCCAAGGCTTGATTTTCCAACTAGGGTACATATTTATGTAACAGCAGATTGCATCTACTGTCATATCGGTTTTTCCTCAAGTGCAGCAGCATTCCAGGTAGTTCCTTGGTACATTCACACCATGACTGTGCACAATATTAGATCTCCAGACACACCTGGAAATTGGCCTCCAAACCCCTAAGGCAAATGACAAACCACAAATCTGCTCTACTAAGCACCGGATCTGTTCCAGATACTCCTGCACAGTGACACGGTGGCTGGTGCTCCCAAGGATATTTAGCAAACAACGCTTGGAAAGCTTTCCAAGCAAACTGCTTGGAAAGATTCTTCATCCTAGAACAAAAAGGAATCCTGTCTTTTTTGTTACAAATTATTATTACTTATGAAGTCCACGCATATTCTTCATTTAACCCAATGCTGAAGAAAGGAAAATCTTACATGGCTGGCGAAGCAACGAACCAGGAGTTCGGGAAATGAACTGGCCTCTGGGCGTCATGTTTCCAATAGTGTCATCAAGGGACGTAAGAACTGATTAATAAAGCCAGTTAAGAAACACTCCTAAACACTCTGTCAGCTCTATCCGCAATGACTGCAAATACTTGGAAAGAAACAATCTTTGTTGCAGCAAAAACATTATAAGGACAACACATTATGAGGGTGAAAACTTAGTCCCTCAAGCTTAGCAAGGACAAAGCAGAAAATCCCTTTCAATAAACATTAATTAGGTCATGAAATATTTCACCAGAAACTTAAAACCTATTAAGGACGCCTCAAAGAAAAGTTCAGAAACAAGAGCATGACGAGTCTAGGACACCTTGCTTCTCATCACTGCTTGGTTCAAGAATTATCTCCCTTTGCAAGGAGCTGCTGCATCCTACATAACTGATAACCAGCAAATCTGAGACTGTACATATAAAAAAACTGTAACAAAAGCTCTCTTGCTCTCTATTCTACGATGCTGACGACTTCATCAAAAAGGTTGCTCCATTTTACCTCTTTCTCTCAGCTAACTAATTACAATGCCCTATGCCTGGTTTACTAGGAAGTGGTGCAAAAGTTGCAGTTTCCTAAATTATGTCAGTGTCCAAGAGCATCCTGATTCAGAACAACAATAATTATGGCCAATATCTTGCTAGTTATATTCTGCTTACAAAAAAAAAAGAAAAAAAAAAACACAGAAGAAATGAGATTTAGTTAATTCATTTGCTCTCATAGTCAGAAAAGTAGCTGTCACTGACTGTCAAACTGTACAAGTTTTTTACTGTTGTAAATAAGCTTATAAATACATTCTGTCAAAATGTTTATCTATGCATGTGCATTTCTCTTGATACTACTGTGAATGGGAAGCTAAGATATATTAAACAATACACACACATAAAAAACATACAGGTTAAAGAACGTAAAGTTAAGACATAACGCAGCAAAGAAAGCTCAAGGTTGTAGTCAGCTACACCTTATGCAGATCTCTAGGATGAGCTCAGCCCAAATTCATAGGCCTGGGAAGGCAGGAAACCTCTGCGCTAAGCGCGGGCACAGGCTTAGGAGGGCAGTGATGCACGTGCGCCTGTATTTAGCCCGCAACCCGAATAATCAATACAAGCACTGACAAAAATGAATGTGTCAGCCGGCGTACGCGGACACTGCAAGCACCGCTGGCAAACACTAGGCGCGAGCAGCCAAGCCCCGCTACCGTAGGGCAGAAGGATACTAGAAACTCTTTTCTGGGCGCCTTGTTTCCGGCCAGCTCTGGCCACCTCTGTCTCTCGGGGGGACAACACGTCTCCGAAGTCGTGTCTGTGGGACAGCAGCACAGGGACAACGTAAGCAAAGGGCTCCGACCCAGAGCGGCCCCCGCGCCGGGTCGCGGCACCGCGTCCCCCACCTCTCCATAACGGCCGCGCCGCTCCCGCCTTCCCGC